CTAGGACACAGGTGAGCCAGGGTGAGCTAGGACACAGGTTAGCCAGGGTAAGCTAGGACACAGGTGAGCTAGGACACGGGTGAGCTAGGATAAGCTAGGACACAGGTGAGCTAGAGTGAGCTAGGACACAGGTGAGCTAGGACATAGGTGAGCTAAGGTGAGCTAGGAAACAGGTGAGAAGGACACAGGTGAGCTAGGGTGAGCTACGAAACAGGTGATCTAGGGTGAGCTAGGACACAGGTGAGTCAGGGTGAGCTAGGGTGAGCTAGGACACAGGTGTGCCAGGGTAAGCTAGGACACAGGTGAGCTAGGGTGAGCAAGGACACGGGTGAGCTAGGACACAGGTGAGCTAGGGTGAACTAGGAAACAGGTGAGAAGGACACAGGTGAGCTAGGGTGAGCTAGGACGCAAGTAAGGTAGGGTAAGCTAGGACACAGGTGAGCTAGGGTGAGCCAGGACACAGGTGAGCTAGGGTGAGCTAGGACACAGGAAAGCTAGGATACAGGTGAGCTAGGGTGAGCCAGGACACAGGTGAGCTAGGACACAGTTGAGCTAGGGTGAGCTAGGACACCGGTGAGCTAGGGTGAGCTAGGACACAGGTGAGCTAGGGTGAGCTAGGCCACAAGTGAGCTAGGGTGAGCTAGTACACGGGTGAACTAGGGTGAGCTAGGACACAGGAGAACCAGGGTGAGCTAGGACACAGGTGAGCTAGGGTGAGCTAGGACACGGGTGACCTAGGGTGAGCTGAGATACGGGTAAGATAGGATGAGCTAGGACACGGGTGAGCTAGGGTGAGCTAGGACACAGATGAGCTAGGGTGAGCTTGGACACGGGTGAGTTATGACACAGGTGACCTAGGGTGAGCTGGGACACGGGTAAGCTAGGACACGGGTGAGCTAGGACACAGGTGAGCTAGGGTGAGCTACGACACAGGTGAGCTAGGGTGAGCTACGACACAATTGAGCTAGGACACAGGTGAGCCAGGACACAGGACAGCTAGGATGAGCTAGGACATGGGTGAGCTAGGATGAGTTAGGACACGGGTTAGCTTGGGTGAGCTAGGACACGGGTTAGCTAGGGTGAGCTAGGACACAGGTGAGCTAGGACACAGGTGAGCTAGGGTGAGCTAGGACACAGGTAAGCTAGGGTGAGCTACAACACAGGTGAGCTAGGGTGAGCTAGGACACAGGTGAGCCAGGGTGAGCTAGGACACAGGTGAGCTAGGGTGAGCTAAAAGACGGGTGAACTAGGGTGAGCTAGGTCACAGGTGAGCTAGGCTGAGCTAGGACACAGGTGAGCTAGGGTGACCTAGGACACGCGAAAGCTAGTACACAGGTGAGCTAGGGTGAGCTAGGAAACGGGTGACCTAGAGTGCGCTAGGGTGAGCTAGGACACGGGTGAGCTAGGACACGGGTGACCTAGGGTGAGCTAGGACACAGGTGACCTAGGGTGAGCTAGGGTGAGCTAGGACACGGGTGAGCTAGGGTGAGCTAGGACACGGGTGAGCTAGGACACAGGTGAGCTAGGGTGAGCTACGACAAGGGTGAGCTAGGGTGAGCTAGGACACAGGTGAGCCAGGGTGAGGTAGGACACAGGTGAGATAGGGTGAGCTAGGAAACGGGTGAACTTGGGTGAGCTAAACACAGGTGAGCTAGGATGAGCTAGGACATAGGTGAGCTAGGACACAGGTGAGCTAGGACACGGGTGATCTAGGACACAGGTGAGCTACGACACAGTTGAGCTAGGACACAGGTGAGCTAGGGTTAGCGAGGGTGAGCTAGGACACAGGTGAGCTAGGGTGAGCTAGGACACAGGTGAACTAGGGTGAGCTAGGACACAGGGTGAGCTAGGGTTAGCTAGGATGAGCTAGGACACAGGTGAGTTAGGGTGAGCTAGGACACAGGTGAGCTAGGGTGAGCTAGGGTGAGCTAGGACACAGGTGAGCTAGGGGTGAGCTAGGGTGAATTAGGACACAGGTGAGCTAGGGTGAGCCAGGACACAGCTGAGCTAGGGTGAACTAGGGCACAGGTGAGCTAGGACACAGGTGACCTAAAGGTTAGCTAGGACTCAGGTGAGCTAGGGTGAGCTAAGACACAGGTGTACTAGGGTGAACTAGGACACAGGTGAGCTAGGGTGAGCCAGGACACAGGTGAGCTAGGGTGAGCTAGGACACAGATGAGCTAGGACACAGGTGAGCTAGGGTGAACTAGGACACAGGTGAGCTAGGGTGAACTAGGACACAGGTGAGCTAGGGTGAGCTAGGACACAGGTGAGCTAGGGTGAGCTAGGACACAGGTGAGCCAGGGTGAGCTAGGACACAGGTGAGCTAGGGTGAGCTAGGACACAGGTGAGCCAGGGTGAGCTAGGACACAGGTGAGCCAGGGTGAGCTAGGACACAGGTAAGCCAGAGTGAGCTAGGACACAGGTGAGCCAGGGTGAGCTAGGACACAGGTGATCCAGGGTGAGCTAGGACACAGTTGGGCTAGGACACAGGTGAGCTAGGGTGAGCTAGGACACAGGTGAGCCAGGGTGATCTAGGACACAGGTAAGGTAGGGTGAGCTAGGACACAGGTGAGCTAGGGTGAGCTAGGTCACAGGTGAGCTAGGGTGAGCTAGGACACAGGTGAGCTAGGGTGAACTAGGACACAGGTGAACTAGGGTGAGCTAGGACACAGGTGAGCTAGAGTGAGCTAGGACACAGGTGAGCTAGGGTGATCTAGGACGCAGGTGAGAAAGGGTGAGCTAGGACACAGGTGAGCTAGGGTGAGCTAGGACACAGGTGAGCTAGGGTGAACTAGGACACAGGTGAGCTAGGACACAGGTGAGCAAGGGTGAACTAGGACACAGGTGAGCTAGGACACAGGTGAGCTACGACACAGGTGAGCTAGGGTGAGCTAGGACACAGGTGAGCTAGGGTGAACTAGGACACAGGTGAGCTAGGACACAGGTGAGCTAGGACACAGGTGAGCTAGGACACAGGTGAGCTAGGGTGAACTAGGACACAGGTGAGCTAGGACACAGGTGAGCTAGGGTGAGCTAGGACACAGGTGAGCTAGGGTGAGCTAGGACACAGGTGAGCTAGGGTGAGCTAGGACACGGGTGAGCTAGGGTGAGCTAGGACACAGGTGAGCTACGACACAGGTGAGCTAGGGTGAGCTAGGACACAGGTGAGCTAGAGTGAGCTAGGACACAGGTGAGCTAGGACACAGGTGAGCTAGGCTGAGCAAGGACACAGGTGAGCTAGGGTGAGCTAGGACACAGGTGAGCTAGGACACAGGTGAGCTAGGGCGAGCAAGGACACAGGTGAGCAAGGGTGAGCTAGGACACAGGTGAGCTAGGACACAGGTGAGCTAGGATGAGCTAGGACACGGGTGAGCTAGGACACAGGTGAGCTAGGGTGAGCTAGGACACGGGTGAGCTAGGACACAGGTGAGCTAGGGTGAGCTAGGGTGAGCTAGGACACAGGTGAGCTAGGGTGAGCAAGGACACAGGTGAGCTAGGGTGAGCAAGGACACAGGTGAGCTAGGGTGAGCTAGGACACAGGTGAGCTAGGGTGAGCTAGGACACGGGTGAGCTAGGACACAGGTGAGCTAGGGTGAGCTAGGACACAGGTGAGCTAGGGTGAGCTAGGACACAGGTGAGCTAGGGTGAGCTAGGACACAGGTGAGCTAAGGTGAGCTAGGACACAGGTGAGCTAGGGTGAGCCAGGACACGGGTGAGCTAGGACACAGGTGAGCTAGGGTGAGCCAGGACACAGGTGAGCTAGGACACAGGTGAGCTAGGGTGAGCTAGGACACAGGTGAGCTAGGGTGAGCTAGGACACGGGTGAGCTAGGACACAGGTGAGCTAGGGTGAGCTAGGACACAGGTGAGCTAGGGTGAGCTAGGACACAGGTGAGCTAGGGTGAGCTAGGACACAGGTGAGCTAGGGTGAGCTAGGACACGGGTGAGCTAGGACACAGGTGAGCTAGGGTGAGCCAGGACACAGGTGAGCTAGGGTGAGCTAGGACACAGGTGAGCTAGGACACAGGTGAGCTAGGGTGAGCTAGGACACAGGTGAGCTAGGGTGAGCCAGGACACGGGTGAGCTAGGACACAGGTGAGCTAGGGTGAGCCAGGACACAGGTGAGCTAGGGTGAGCTAGGACACAGGTGAGCTAGGGTGAGCCAGGACACGGGTGAGCTAGGACACAGGTGAGCTAGGGTGAGCCAGGACACAGGTGAGCTAGGGTGAGCTAGGACACAGGTGAGCTAGGGTGAGCTAGGACACAGGTGAGCTAGGGTGAGCTAGGACACGGGTGAGCTAGGACACAGGTGAGCTAGGACACAGGTGAGCTAGGACACAGGTGAGCTAGGGTGAGCAAGGACACAGGTGAGCTAGGGTGAGCTAGGACACAGGTGAGCTAGGGTGAGCCAGGACACAGGTGAACTAGGGTGAGCTAGGACACAGGTGAGCTAGGACACAGGTGAGCTAGGGTGAGCCAGGACACAGGTGAGCTAGGGTGAGCTAGGACACAGGTGAGCTAGGGTGAGCCAGGACACAGGTGAGCTAGGACACAGGTGAGCTAGGGTGAGCTAGGACACGGGTGAGCTAGGACACAGGTGAGCTAGGGTGAGCTAGGACACAGGTGAGCTAGGGTGAGCTAGGACACGGGTGAACTAGGACACAGGTGAGCTAGGGTGAGCTAGGACACAGGTGAGCTAGGGTGAGCCAGGACACGGGTGAGCTTGGACACAGGTGAGCTAGGGTGAGCCAGGACACAGGTGAGCTAGGGTGAGCTAGGACACAGGTGAGCTAGGGTGAGCCAGGACACGGGTGAGCTAGGGCACAGGTGAGCTAGGGTGAGCCAGGACACAGGTGAGCTAGGGTGAGCTAGGACACAGGTGAGCTAGGGTGAGCTAGGACACAGGTGAGCTAGGGTGAGCCAGGACACAGGTGAGCTAGGGTGAGCTAGGACACAGGTGAGCTAGGGTGAGCCAGGACACAGGGGTAACATACTCACCATTGTCAGAGGCCTCCAGCTGGTAGAACGGGTCGTCCATATTCTTGTCTGGAAAAGATAACACCATAAATATGTTTCTATAACAATTGATGAATATACAATCAATACAGATTATGTCTCTTTACCTGCAATGTTGCAGCGTGTATGACGTTATTTAGAGGTTTAGTCGCTTATACATCCATACACACACACACACATACATGTACTCATGTATACACACACCCACACACACACACTCTCACACTCTCCCACAGTACCTCACACTCTCCCACAGTACCACCCACTCTCCTACAGTACCTCACACTCTCCCACAGTACCTCACACTCTCCCACAGTATCCCACACTCTCCTACAGTACCTCACACTCTCCCACAGTATCCCACACTCTCCTACAGTACCTCACACTCTCCCACAGTATCCCACACTCTCCCACAGTACCTCACACTCTCCCACAGTACCTCACACTCTCCCACAGTATCCCACACTCTCCTACAGTACCTCACACTCTCCCACAGTACCTCACACTCTCCCACAGTACCTCACACTCTCCCACAGTACCTCACACTCTCCCACAGTACCTCACACTCTCCCACAGTATCCCACACTCTCCTACAGTACCTGACACTCTCCCACAGTACCACCCACTCTCCTACAGTACCTCACACTCTCCCACAGTACCTCACACTCTCCCACAGTACCTCACACTCTCCTACAGTACCTCACACTCTCCCACAGTACCTCACACTCTCCCACAGTACCTCACACTCTCCCACAGTACCTCACACTCTCCCACAGTACCTCACACTCTCCCACAGTATCCCACACTCTCCTACAGTACCTCACACTCTCCCACAGTACCACCCACTCTCCTACAGTACCTCACACTCTCCCACAGTATCCCACACTCTCCTACAGTACCTCACACTCTCCCACAGTACCTCACACTCTCCCACAGTACCTCACACTCTCCCACAGTATCCCACACTCTCCTACAGTACCTCACACTCTCCCACAGTACCTCACACTCTCCTACAGTACCTCACACTCTCCCACAGTACCTCACACTCTCCCACAGTACCTCACACTCTCCCACAGTACCACCCACTCTCCTACAGTACCTCACACTCTCCCACTGTACCTCACACCCTCCCACAGTACCTCACACTCCCCCACAGTACCTCACACTCTCCCACAGTACCTCACACTCTCCCACAGTATCCCACACTCTCCTACAGTACCTCACACTCTCCCACAGTACTTCACACTCTCCCACAGTACCTCACACTCTCCCACAGTACCTCACACTCTCCTACAGTACCTCACACTCTCCCACAGTACCTCACACTCTCCCACAGTACCTCCCACTCTCCCACAGTACTTCACACTCTCCCACAGTACCTCACACTCTCCCACAGTACCTCACACTCTCCCACAGTACCTCACACTCTCCCACAGTACCTCACACTCTCCCACAGTATCCCACAGTATCCCACACTCTCCTACAGTACCTCACACTCTCCCACAGTACCTCACACTCTCCCACAGTACCACCCACTCTCCTACAGTACCTCACACTCTCCCACAGTACCTCACACTCTCCTACAGTACCTCACACTCTCCCACAGTACCTCACACTCTCCCACAGTACCTCCCACTCTCCCACAGTACTTCACACTCTCCCACAGTACCTCACACTCTCCCACAGTACCTCACACTCTCCCACAGTACCTCACACTCTCCCACAATACCTCACACTCTCCCACAGTATCCCACAGTATCCCACACTCTCCTACAGTACCTCACACTCTCCCACAGTACCTCACACTCTCCCACAGTACCTCACACTCTCCTACAGTACCTCACACTCTCCCACAGTACCTCACACTCTCCCACAGTACCTCCCACTCTCCCACAGTACTTCACACTCTCCCACAGTACCTCACACTCTCCCACAGTACCTCACACTCTCCCACAGTACCTCACACTCTCCCACAGTATCCCACAGTATCCCACACTCTCCTACAGTACCTCACACTCTCCCACAGTACCTCACACTCTCCCACAGTATCCCACAGTATCCCACACTCTCCTACAGTACCTCACACTCTCCCACAGTACCTCACACTCTCCCACAGTACCTCACACTCTCCCACAGTATCCCACACTCTCCTACAGTACCTCACACTCTCCCACAGTACCTCACACCCTCCCACAGTACCTCACACCCTCCCACAGTACCTCACACTCTCCCACAGTACCTCACACTCTCCTACAGTATCCCACACTCTCCTACAGTACCTCACACTCTCCCACAGTACCTCACACTCTCCCACAGTACCTCACACTCTCCCACAGTACCTCACACTCTCCCACAGCACCACTCACTCTCCTACAGTACTTCACACTCTCCCACAGTACCTCACACTCTCCCACAGTACCACTCACTCTCCTACAGTACCTCACACTCTCCCACAGTACCTCACACTCTCCCACAGTACCTCACACTCTCCAACAGTACCTCACACCCTCCCACAGTACCTCACACTCTCCCACAGTACCTCACTCCCTCCCACAGTACCTCACACTCTCCCACAGTACCTCACACCCTCCCATAGTACCTCACACTCTCCCACAGTACCTCACACTCTCCCACAGTACCTCACACTCTCCCACAGTATCCCACACTCTCCCACAGTACCTCACACCCTCCCACAGTACCTCACACTCTCCCACAGTACCTCACACTCTCCCACAGTACCTCACACCCTCCCTCAGTACCTCACACTCTCCCACAGTACCTCACACCCTCCCACAGTACCTCACTCCCTCCCACAGTACCTCACACTCTCCCACAGTACCTCACACCCTCCCATAGTACCTCACACTCTCCCACAGTACCTCACACTCTCCCACAGTACCTCACACACTCCCACACTCTCCCACAGTACCTCACACCCTCCCACAGTACCTCACACTCTCCCACAGTACCTCACACTCTCCCACAGGACCTCACACCCTCCCACAGTACCTCACACTCTCCCACAGTACCTCACACTCTCCCACAGTACCTCACACCCTCCCACAGTACCTCACACTCTCCCACAGTACCTCACACTCTCCCACAGTACCTCACACCCTCCCACAGTACCTCACACTCACCCACAGTACCTCCCACTCTCCCACAGTAACCAACAGCCTCACAAGGAAGAGTTAAACAGAGCAGAGAGGGTAAAACTCTGATGTAAACTTTGAAAATAAAAATATCTTGCTGGCAGGTGTGAGGAAAACTGTAAACTTTACCTCTGACGTATTTTTGTGGTCTACGGCGACCGGTCACGATACTCGGGTTTACATCACCCTTCTCTTGGTCCTACTTACCTTTTTACATTTTAGGGAAAAGGGAACTTTTTTGTAAATATTGGATTCCAAAATATAATTTATGTAATTTTTCGTGTTCAAGAATTTGGATGAACTTGTTCATAGTGATAATTTAGTGATTATTCTTTGAAAAAATAATTATAAAAGGTAATAAATATTAAAATAAATAATAATCATACTGAGGCTGGTGTATGATGTGCTCAAACTATATAGTGATATATTGGCTAATTAGCCTATTATCACGAATGTTGTAATTACTAGCTAATCTTTTGACCGTAAATGATTATATTTTGTGTATTGACACTGTATGTCATACATAACCTACTATATTATATTTCTGTATCAAAGTTGTATGCCATGTAATTGTGGATTGATATATTAGATGTCTAGTGTATAGCAGTAGCCTACTGTCACGTAGCTTGAAAATCTTCTTGTATGGTTATTGTATGAAATGCTACATAAATGTTGTATAGGAAGTATTATGTGAACCATGATGGAGAATGTATACATTTAGGTCTCGGATGTATTACTCACATGTATACTGTGTAATTTCCATTTCACTGTTGTTCCTTGCATTGTCCTCTTGTCATGACATTAAATGAAATTATGGCTCTGTGACATATATATATATAACGTAGACAAGCTTTTGATACACATATTGTGTATGTATATATATATATATATATATATATATATATATCCTTTTTTTCCACACACACAAACACACACCTCCGGGAAGCAACCCGTAGCAGCTGTCTAACTCCCAGGTACCTATTTACTGCTAGGTAACAGGTGCATCAGGGTGAAAGAAACTCTACCCACTTGTTTTTCCGCATCCACCGGGGATCGAACCCGGAACCTCATGACAACGAAGTGCTGCCCACTCAGCTGTCAGGCCCCCAGGCTTCCATACACCCCCCCCCCCAGTATACTCACCTAATTGTGCTTGCGAGGGTTGAACTCTAGCTCTTTGGTCCCGCCTCTCAACCGTCAATCAACAGGTGTACAGGTTCGTGTGTGTGTGTGTGTGTCTCATAACTCACAAACATATGCCACAGTCTTAACAAGCCAGGTGTTATCCTCACAATGAGCGAGGCCACCAACCAGAGTGAGATACTGACCCTTGACAATGAGGAGGACAGGCCTGGTGATCTTGGGGTCAGAGTTGACCTGACACTCGTACCAGCCACCGTCCCCTGGCTGGGCGTACTTGATGTGTAGCGTCCACTCGTCCGTGTTCCCCGGGTGCAGCACCTGCCACACAACCTTACCATTATTATATATAACAATATTATCACAGGTAATAATGTGTAGCGTCCACTCGTCCGTGTTCCCCGGGTGCAGCACCTGCCACACAACCTTACCATTATTATATATAACAATATTATCACAGGTAATAATGTGAAGTATCCACGAGGCGCGAACCTGCGACCTTGGCATTGTCAAGTCGCATACTCTACCACTGGACTACCGGGTCTTATCATTGATATATATCACGTTAATGTAATTACTGTGTAAAAATATTATTAATATTAAATCATTCATATAATAATAACAGTTATGGGAAGAATGATAATATTAAACCCATGATTCTGGTGCATTACTCCGCTCAATACTTCAGCGTTCATGTTGCCGTTCGCGAAGCCGGATCACCGCCTCGGCGCTCAAGAACGCCACATGTGTGTGATGTATGGCGGAGGAAGATCTTGTACCCGTGAAACACGGCTTGTAATGGCTTGCTGTGTCCTCCTCATAATTATCTTACCTCACCTTGCACGCTTACACTTATCACCAAACTTATGAGAACACGTGAGTGTGTGAGGAAGTGGTGAGTGTGAGGACCGCGGACAACAGTTATGCTGGCCAAACACCTTTAACCTTTAACCTCTTAGACCTTTAATTCGCGGCTAGAGAACAATTCTAGAAAATTCGACCCGAAACGAGAGGGAGAAAGAAGCGGGTATATAGAGAGTCCCACCACCTGCCACAGTCAGTGGAAGTGTAGACGTGGACCAGTACACATGCTGCTCCTCCACGTCATATATAAAGCTGATTTATAGAGTCTGGGAAACCTTTGTGAAGTTTCGTGCGTGTGCGTGGGTGTGTGTGCGTACTCACCTAGTTGTGCTTGCGGGGGTTGAGCTCTGGCTCTTTGGTCCCGCCTCTCAACCGTCAATCAACAGGTGTACAGATTCCTGAGCCTATTGGGCTCTATCATATCTACACTTGAAACTGTGTATGGAGTCAGCCTCCACCACATCACTTCCTAATGCATTCCATTTGTCAACCACTCTGACACTAAAAAAGTTCTTTCTAATATCTCTGTGGCTCATTTGGGCGCTCAGTTTCCACCTGTGTCCCCTTGTGCGTGTGCCCCTTGTGTTAAATAGCCTGTCTTTATCTACCCTATCAATTCCCTTGAGAATCTTGAATGTGGTGATCATGTCCCCCTAACTCTTCTGTCTTCCAGCGAAGTGAGGTTTAATTCCCGTAGTCTCTCCTCGTAGCTCATACCTCTCAGCTCGGGTACTAGTCTGGTGGCAAACCTTTGAACCTTTTCCAGTTTAGTCTTATCCTTGACTAGATATGGACTCCATGCTGGGGCTGCATACTCCAGGATTGGCCTGACATATGTGGTATACAAAGTTCTGAATGATTCTTTACACAAGTTTCTGAATGCCGTTCGTATGTTGGCCAGCCTGGCATATGCCGCTGATGTTATCCGCTTGATATGTGCTGCAGGAGACAGGTCTGGCGTGATATCAACCCCCAAGTCTTTTTCTTTCTCTGACTCCTGAAGAATTTCCTCTCCCAGATGATACCTTGTATTTGGCCTCCTGCTCCCTACACCTATCTTCATTACATTACATTTGGTTGGGTTGAACTCTAACAACCACTTGTTCGACCATTCCTTCAGTTTGTCTAGGTCTTCTTGAAGCCTCAAACAATCCTCTTCTGTCTTAATCCTTCTCATAATTTTGGCATCGTCCGCAAACATTGAGAGAAATGAATCTATACCCTCCGGGAGATCATTTACATATATCAGAAACAAGATAGGACCGAGTACAGAGCCCTGTGGGACTCCACTGGTGACTTCACGCCAATCGGAGGTCTCACCCCTCACCGTAACTCTCTGCTTCCTATTGCTTTGGTACTCCCTTATCCACTGGAGCACCTTACCAGCTACACCTGCCTGTCTCTCCAGCTTATGTACCAGCCTCTTATGCGGTACTGTGTCAAAGGCTTTCCGACAATCCAAGAAAATGCAGTCCGCCCAGCCCTCTCTTTCTTGCTTAATCTGTGTCACCTGGTCGTAGAATTCAATTAAGCCAGTCAGGCAAGATTTACCCTCCCTGAACCCATGTTGGTGATTTGTCACGAAGTCCCTTCTCTCCAGATGTGCTACCAGGTTTTTTCTCACGATCTTCTCCATCACCTTGCATGGTATACAAGTCAAGGACACTGGCCTGTAGTTCAGTGCCTCTTGCCTGTCACCCTTTTTGTATATTGGGACCACATTCGCTGTCTTCCATATTTCTGGTAGGTCTCCCGTCTCCAGTGACCTACTATACACTATGGAGAGTGGCAAGCAAAGTGCCTCTGCACACTCTTTCAGTACCCATGGTGAGATCCCGTCTGGACCAACAGCCTTTCTAACATCCAGATCCAGCAGGTGTCTCTTGACCTCCTCTCTCGTAATTTCGAACTCTTCCAAGGCCGCCTGGTTTACTTCCCTTTCTCCTAGCACAGTGACCTCACCTTGTTCTGTTGTGAAGACCTCTTGGAACCTCTTGTTGAGTTCATCACACACCTCTTTGTCATTCTCTGTATACCTGTCCTCGCCTGTTCTAAGTTTCACTACCTGTTCTTTCACTGTTGTTTTCCTTCTGATGTGACTGTGGAGTAGCTTTGGTTCGGTCTTGGCTTTGTTTGCTATATCATTTTCATAACTTTTCTCTGCTTCTCTTCTCACCCTGACATACTCATTCCTGGTTCTCTGGTATCTCTCTCTGCTTTCTGGTGTTCTGTTATTCCGGAAGTTCCTCCACGCCCTTTTGTTCAGTTTCTTCGCTTCCATACATGCCCTATTATACCATGGATTCTTCTTTTGCTTCTCGGATTTTTCCTTTTGGGCCGGGATGTATCTGCTTACTGCCTCCTGACACTTTTGGGTGACATAGTCCATCATATCTTGTACAGACTTATCTCTGAGGTCTGTGTCCCAAGGTATTTCCCTTAGGAAGCTTCTCATCTCCTCATAATTTCCCTTTCGGTATGCCAGCCTTTTGTTTCCTAGTTCTTTTTGGGGGAGATAATTCCTAGCTCTACCAGGTACTCAAAGTTCAATACACTGTGATCACTCATTCCCAAGGGCGCTTCCATCTTGACTTCCCTTATATCCCACTCATTTAGGGTAAATATCAGATCAAGCATTGCTGGTTCATCCTCTCCTCTCATTCTTGTTGGATCCTTGATGTGCTGGCTTAGAAAGTTTCTTGTTGCCACATCCAGCAGCTTAGCTCTCCATGTTTCTGGTCCTCCATGTGGGTCTCTGTTCTCCCAATCTATCTTCCCATGGTTGAAGTCTCCCATGATTAGTAGTCCAGATCCATTCCTGCTAGCAACAGAAGCTGCTCTCTCTATTATGTTAATGGTGGCCATATTGTTTCTATCATATTCCTGTCTGGGTCTTCTGTCATTTGGTGGCGGATTATATATGACTATGACTATGACTATAATTTTTTGCCCTCCAGTTGTTATTGTTCCTATTATGTAGTCACTGAAACCTTCACATCCCTGAACAACCAACTCCTCAAAATCCCAGCCTTTTCTTACCAGCAGAGCTACACCACCCCCACCTCTTCCTTCTCTCTCTTTCCTCATAACATAATAGTCCTGTGGGAACACTGCATTTGTTATTGTTTTCATCAGCTTAGTTTCTGTGAGAACTATTATGTCTGGGTTTTCCTCTAGTACCCATTCTCCAAGTTCATTTGCTTTATTTGTAATACCGTCTATGTTAGTGTACATTGCCTTGAGGCTCACTTTCTTCTGTCCCTTCTCAAATCTCCTCCTTGGTGAATGTTCTGCTGGTATGTGTGTGTGTGTGTGTGTGTGTGTGTGTGTGTGTGTGTGTGTGTGTGTGTGTGTGTGTGTGTGTGTGTGTGTGTGTGTGTGTGTGTGTGTGTGCGCGCGTGTGTTCAGCAGCACACTATTAAGGGGTCCACTATGCCTCCCTCGGCTCCCTTCACCAATCGATTCAGATCTAATTATTAGTGTCGGAAGCGGTTGGGGAGGGAAGTCTTTTATAATTATCCAGGCAATTAATATTGTAGCAATTATTAGTATTAAGTTTTCCTTCCTAATTACTTGCGTTTAGGGATGGTTGGTGCGGCTCCACATATTTGATGACCTTCTTCATCAAATGGGTAATATTGATTTAATATGTACAACGTATATCAAACTTGTTTATCAAAACATTAATCTATACTATGTGTATGTTTGTTTTTATATGTGTATGTGTATACAATGGTTTTAATCTATACTATGTGTCTGTCTCTGTAAAACTGGAGGCCAGAGGGTTGAGAGCTGCCTCACTCAGATTGGCTTAGGGAATGGTCAGGGGTATGGGTTGAACATAGGCCCTACACAGGATACCCATCCAGGGATTAATATACTGGTTGTAAAGCTCCAGTGCCTCCCAGTGAAGTCAGTAGAGTTCTGGGTTAGTTAGCCTTTTGTACCCTCATGGCTGAGTCGGTTAAGGCAGGTGTCTGGGATTCACCAGAACGCTGGTTTGAGTGACTTCGAGTTTGAGTTCGAGTCACCTCCTCCCCCAGGAAGCAGCCCGTAGCAGCTGTCTAACGCCCAGGAACCTATTTAGTCTCCCCTCTTGTCTGTGTTTCCTCCTAAAATGTTGCGTCAGGAGGTTTCTTTCTGCACTCTACTAAGTTTGCTCTCCATGTCTTCTTCCATTCTTAGATCGACTGATTCCCAGTCAACTTGCCGCATGGTTGAACTCTCCCATTACTAGTAACTTTTGTTCTCAATCTACGAGATAATTCAGTTACACTTTTGATATATATATATATATATATATATATATATATATATATATATATATATATATATATATATATATATATATCATGCTAACAAGCTTGAATGGTCCCCAAGAATATTTGCGAAAGAAAACTCCACACCCCAGAAGTGACTCGAACCCGGACCGCCAGGAGCACATTGCAACTGGTGTA